CCCACCCCCAAAACTGGGATTTTTAACTTTCAAGCTACTTCACATGGAGCCTTCAGCAATTTACTGATTACCATTTAAGGCATCCCTACTTTAAACTTTGAAGTGGTTTCAGCTGTGGGCTTCTGCGCAAGTGAGCTGTGATTTTCTTTTTTTTTTTTTTTTCATTGTTTTATTTATTTCTTTTTTCTTTTATTTATTTATTTATTTTTTATTATTATTATACTTTAAGTTCTAGGGTACATGTGCATAACGTGCAGGTTTGTTACATATGTATACTTGTGCCATGTTGCTGTGCTGCACCCATCAACTCGTCAGCACCCATCAACTCGTCATTTACATCAGGTGTAACTCCCAATGCAATCCCTCCTCCCTCCCCCTTCCCCATGATAGGCCCCGGTGTGTGATGTTCCCCTTCCCGAGTCCAAGTGATCTCATTGTTCAGTTCCCACCTATGAGTGAGAACATGCGGTGTTTGGTTTTCTGTTCTTGTGATAGTTTGCTAAGAATGATGGTTTCCAGCTGCATCCATGTCCCTACAAAGGACACAAACTCATCCTTTTTTATGGCTGCATAGTATTCCATGGTGTATATCTGCCACATTTTCTTTTTTTTTTTTTTTTTGAGACGGAGTCTCGCTCTGTCGCCCAGGCTGGAGTGCAGTGGCCGGATCTCAGCTCACTGCAAGCTCCGCCTCCCATGTTTACGCCATTCTCCTGCCTCAGCCTCCCGAGTAGCTGGGACTACAGGTGCCCTCCACCTCGCCCGGCTAGTTTTTTGTATTTTTTAGTAGAGATGGGGTTTCACCGTGTTAGCCAGGGTGGTCTCGATCTCCTGAACTCGTGATCCGCCCGTCTTGGGCTCCCAAAGTGCTGGGATTACAGGCTTGAGCCACCGTGCCCGGCCGATGTGCCACATTTTCTTAATCCAGTCTGTCACTGATGGACATTTGGGTTGATTCCAAGTCTTTGCTATTGTGAATAGTGCCGCAATAAATATACGTGTGCATGTGTCTTTATAGCAGCATGATTTATAATCCTTTGGGTATATACCCAGTAATGGGATGGCTGGGTCATATGGTACATCGAGTTCTAGATCCTTGAGGAATCGCCATACTGTTTTCCATAATGGTTGAACTAGTTTACAATCCCACCAACAGTGTAAAAGTGTTCCTATTTCTCCACATCCTCTCCAGCACCTGTTGTTTCCTGACTTTTTAATGATCGCCATTCTAACTGGTGTGAGATGGTATCTCATTGTGGTTTTGATTTGCATTTCTCTGATGGCCAGTGATGATGAGCATTTTTTCATGTGTCTGTTGGCTGTATGAATGTCTTCTTTTGAGAAATGTCTGTTCATATCCTTTGCCCACTTTTTGATGGGGTTGTTTGTTTTTTTCTTGTAAATTTGTTTGAGTTCTTTGTAGGTTCTGGATATTAGCCCTTTGTCAGATGAGTAGATTGCAAAAATTTTCTCCCATTCTGTAGGTTGCCTGTTCACTCTGATGGTATTTTCTGTGTCTACCTGTCTGCCTCTCCAGTTTTTCAGGAAGCAGTTTGCCCTGTGACCTCCATTCTCTCATGGATCTAAGAAGAGTTGTTGATTTTCAGTTTGTTCAGCTTTGTTTTTGTTGTAAGGATGGGAGTGATGACTTCCAAATCCTATAACATATCAGACTGGAAACCACTTTGCATGGATTTTTGTGGGAATTACTTAAGCACTGCATGTAATTGCTTTCTTTGTACTTCATTACTGTGGGTGCAGCAGTAGGATCAAGGTGAGTAATGATGTGTCCTCTATGTATGGAGCTAAGGCCATACCACACATTCTCCTTTGACATGTGTAATTTGTGCTGACAATCATACAGATCTGGAAACATTGTTTAATTTTAAATATTTCTAAATTTATGAATAAAACCTTAGATAATATTTATACATATGTTTATAAATAAGCTATATTCATACATATTCATATTCCTTCATATTGTATATTGATTTTCATATATATTTTATATGTTTTTGCATTTTGTTCATATATATTTAATTCATATATATTTCAATAATTATCACCTTCTATAAGGGGAAAAGGAATTATGACAGCTGTAAGTTAGTAAACCTATTAAATATACCTATTGAAGGAAACAAGTCTAAAGCCATGTTCCATTCCATCCCAACATCTTTGCGAGTCAACGACAGTTTCATAGACTTGGCCTATCTTGATGGGTAAGAGCACATACTTTGGATTCAGACACACATGAGAGCAAGTTTCACATCTAACACTTGTTAGCCACAGTTCATTGTTTATTCAATAGCCATATGAATAGCACCTAACATGCCTGGTTCATTATTAGGTGAGCAAATGCATATGGGTGGCCAGAAGCCTAAGGCACTCATGTTATTATCACTGATAACATCATCAGTGACATTACAGTCATTGCCCTTTGTATTATTTTTACTGCTCCTTATACGTTCTGTCACTTTCTGCTCAGCTTTAAAGAAATTAAAAGCACAATTGAGCACATAATCTGGGTGTGCTATCCAGAAGCTACTGGCATCAACTCTCCTGTTGCCTGATAACTTTAAGATGAATATCTCCATTCCTGAACTTTCTTCTAAACTCTAGAGTAACAGTCTCATCTCTCAATTCTTCTTCTCCATCTGGGAAAGCAGGGAGCTCAAACTCATAGCCCATCTTTCCCCAGACATCATTTTTTGCAAAATCAAATGAGCAAAGATTGAAACATATAATGAAAGTTGATAAAGGTATACTGTGTTAGTACTTTTATATACTGCTCAAGAGAGTTCATGTTTATTCATGAAACCATTTGGTTATATGTATCAAAATCATTTTGGTATTCTTAATATTTATACCAATATTTCTACTGCTGGGAATCTAGCCTAGGAAAACATTCAGAAATGTGGACAAATATTAACGTAAGATTGCATTAATTATGCCTCCATTTATAACTGGGAAAATTAGGAAGAATCTGAAGGTCTGATTATTGAGTAATGATTTTATATATATATATATATAGACACACATATATACACATACACTATGGGGGATGCTAGCTATTCAGTATCAAGTGAAAAATTAGAAACCACAATCCATCTACAATAATCTGTGAAAGTAAACATGTATGTATGCATGCACACACAACATACTCACAGGAGAAAATTGAAGAATCCTAAATTAGTCACTATGTTATGGCTGGAAATTGAGATATTGTAAATTGTCATTTTCCCCTCGATACACATCTCCAATTCTACATTTTATAATTCTGATAAAAATAAATACTAAAATACTATAGAAAAAAGAGTAGGCTCACAGTTTGGAAATGTTGGGTTTTATAAAGTCTGTCTTCTTTATTATTAATTTTGTTCAAACTTGAACTGCTGTAGATTCATGTGGTGTTCTCTGATTTGTCTGTGGTTGATTTTTAGGGTTGTTACTTGAATACTTAATGTATTAAATGTTATTTAATGTAGTAACTGATTAAATAATACAGGCAGAATAGTACACATCACAGCTCACTTTATTCTAGAGACGGAAGTGAAAAATGGTCTGAGAAAATGAATGGCATTAGAAGATGGTACAGGCTGGGCTCCTAGAACGGCCATGCCCGGTCCTCCAGCCGCTTGCTCTTTGGAGCTCTGAGGCCATATTTCTAGAGGAAATGGCGTGGAGACGCCATTTCCCCCTCATTCTGCGGAGGCGCCTGCAGCATTTCCTACAGCTGCTTTTATAAAGGCCGGAGGGAACAGAGCCGGATGCTTTGGCAGTAAGCAGGATGGGGGAAGAGATCGCTGCTGCACGAGCCCCATGTCCGGGGGCTCATGGACAGACAGAAAAGCAAACTAGAGAAGCCAGACCTGCCTTTCATTTGTATTGTTCTCATTGCGAGGCCACATTCTCCCAGCAAGTTAAACATATTGTTATTTTTCTTTTACCCACAAAGGAAGGAGGCTCAGAGAACTTGTGTAGCCTTGTTAACTTTATGTGGCTGGGAGTTGGCAAGGCTGGGATGTGGACCCCAGATGTGTAGCTGACAGCTCAGGTTCTTGTCGTTGTTCCCTGCTGCGCTGTTGGAGTAACTTAGGGCTATTGTCCCCTACTCATACCACTCTCAGGGGAGTGACCCTATGCAGGCACTCGGGAGATAGGGGCGGGGCGATTCCAGGAGATTCAGATGGTCTGTGTGATGGTTAATACTGAATGTCAACTTGACTGGGTGAAGGATACAAAGTATTGATCCTGTGGGTGTCTGTCAGCGTGCTGCCAAAGGAGACTAACATTTGAGTCAGTGGGCTGGGAAAGGCAGACACACCCTTAATCTGTGTGGGCACCATTAAATCAGCTGCCAGCTGGGCTAGGATATAAGCAGGCAGAAAAATGTTAAAAGAAGACTGGCCTACACGTCCCGCCTACATCTTTCTCCCCGGCTGGAGGCTTCCTGCCCTCAAACGTCGGACTCCAGGTTCTTCAGTTTTGGGACTCAGACTGGCTCTCCTTGCTTCTCAGCCTGCAGACGGCCTATTGTGGGACTTTGTGATGGTGCGAGTTAATACTTAATAAATTCCCCTTTATATACATATATATGTAATACATATATACTCACATATATGCATACTATATAACACTAAACTAATTACATGTCTGGATATAGGAGAAGAAATTATATGTAAAGAGTCTGTGGATCAGTCCTCTTTCTCCAGTACCACAAGACCTCAGCTTCTTGCAGTTGTGATATTCTGATAACTGGTCACCTCCCTTCTCTGTAATAAACTGTATGCATTGCTGTTGGAATACAGCACTAAGTGTGTATGGACCTTGCACCAACAACACTGGTGGCTGAGGAAGTAAGATCCTAATCCTACCTGGCATTCAAATCTCTTCAAATTTGGCCTCAAACTACAGTTACAATTCTTAGTCACACATATTCTCCTGCATGTACCCTCAGAAATGGTCCAATGACATGGACATCACCTTCTTCCCAGACTTACCTGTTCTCTCACCTCCAGGGACTCACTCAAGGTCTTCCCTCTTCCTGGAACACAGTCTCCACATCTCTCAAGAATTAGCGATGTTGTCTCCACCCAGCTGGTAGAAATTGCTTCCACCTCTTATACTCTCAAGATATTTAAATGATGTAACTTCCAGGGCTCAGTCACTTTCTCTATTATGGGACTGTGGGGGCAGAGGGCAACATGACAAAGCCCAGTGGCTTCTGAGTCCACAGTGAACATACAGGCTCCATCACTCTCCTTGTGTGACCTTAAACACAACATTTGAACTTCTCTCAGACACAGATCCCTCGCTCCCCAAATGGAGACATTAATATCAATCTGACCGAGTTGTTCTTGCAATTAAAAGTGAAATTTTCTTATACCTGGTTATGGCAGATGCTCAACGAATTTAAGGTAAACGAAATAATAGCTACAACATTGAGCAACCGCACCGTTCTTAAATGCTTTCTGGATCCACGCTCATCTTAGCTTTATAACTGATGTTTGAGAGGAGCTCTGCTGCCATTTCCGGTACCATAGAGATGAGGAAACTGGGGCCAGAGAGACTAAATCAGCAGAAAGGACAGCGTAGCGCACACACTCTCTCATGGTCTGAGTGGAGAAGCCGACTAGTGCCAGGCCGTACCTTCCCACAACCCTGTCAGCCCGGAGCCATTTTGACCCAGAAGGACCTCAGAAGGGAGAAAATAGGGGTTAGACTTTTTTAGCCCTAGTATACACATTAAGCAGAAAAGGTGAGGCCTTAAAGGAAGAAAACTGAGCCTGGCATGTTCTGGAATATGAAGACGGCATTTTGGTGCTCTTCTGCAGCTAAAACAGTGCATATCAGAGTGCAGACAGGTGTAGAAACAGTCCCAGCCCGTCTTTGACTGTTTGCAAGAAAACAAATGCCATACAACATGGTAAAACTACACCTTTCTCACAGTGTCCATTCCAGAAATGTGCAGCAGTGTTCGCTGCTTAATTTTTCTGTCAGGAGAGGGTAGCATTGTGACTAAATCCTGGCCCTTTTTACTAAAGGTTTCTCTCAAACTCCTCAGCTGGGAAGAGAGCTCAGTGCATCCGCCATGTCCATCATACATTCGACTCAGCACTGCTTGGCTGGTCTGCCCTGGCCAACTGGGTCTCCTCCGTGATTTTGTGTCCCTGCTAATGATGAGGGGTTTGCAGTCCTAGTCTTGCTGGCTCAGCCCCGGGGGATATTTAGCAATCCATCTTATCCCTTTCTCATGCAGAGGACATCTCACTGATGTAACTTATTTTTATGACATTAATTTTAGAACGTATTTTTTTCTGTTCTAATATAAATATTCATTGGCCAATAATTCAGGAAAAATAAACAATAAACCAGGATACATGCACAAAAGAAGAAAGTGAGCCCACTAAATATATTATTGGAAATATCTATACAAAAACTAGAAATGAGGATGATTTGACCTCTAGCTATTTATGAGCTCTTAAAACATTATTTTCCAGGGGAGGCCTATGTCTGCCTTCTGTTTTACGCAGGGAATAGTGGTGTTGCATCTGTGAAACCTTTAGCGTGGTTCTCTCAGCTTGCCCTGTTGGATGGCATCACAACATTAAAATATCTGTGCCTTCCATGAAAAGACCTCAAATGTATTCCTTTCTCCCTTTCTCCCCTTCACACAGCCGTGAATGCAGCTCAGGAAGCAGTGGGACTTGCAGGCTCATCCCTCTGTAATTAATTCCGCTGGCTTTCAGAGCGTCCTGAGGTTTGCAGGCTCTTTACAGAGAGGCTGCTTCCATTTCTCATGCACTGTGATCCAGCAGCACACCCCAACAAGGGCTGTGAAGGCAGCTCAGGGCTCGCAGCATCTCCAGCGCTCCGCCACAGTCCCGCCTGCCTGCGTCGGTAAAACTGCTTAAGGCAGCGCTAATTAATTTCTCCTGCTTATCCTGCACTCTCCTTGCAGGCTATCGGGTCTCAGAATCGACTTCCTGGACTTGTATTCGTTCACCATCCAAATTAGCTTAATGCACGACAGAAATCTCATCTCGACCTAGAGGTAGCAGCGAGTCTCTAGGGAGAAATCAAATACTGAGTCAATTTTTTTAAAAAAGTAAAATAAAATTAGACCTACCGCATCAAATTTATTTCCAGCACCCTTGAGATGGGAAGGAGAGGAGGGGAGGCAGTGACTTGGTTCCTCAGAGAAGCTGTGTGCACACACTTGGAAAAGCAGCTCCCGAACGCATTCCTGGATTTTAACTAAATCACGTTAGTGTCAAAATGCAACGTGTGCATTTATTGACAGCATAGGGACAAAGAAAGCAAATCGTAAAGCAACAATTTTAGATAATTACCTCAAATTTATTGCCAGTTCTGTCTCCTAGTTTCCCCTCCGTCTCATGCCTATATTGTTTAAATTTGTCAGGTGGTTAGTTCAAATAAAGCACCAAGGTATCTTCAACATACCACCTGTGTTCAGGATATATTTCCCTGAGTTCCTGCCAGACTTTGGCACGTCTGCTGCTGGAAATGAATCAGAATGCAGGGAGAGGGCTAATTGACAGGTCTGTGGATGCCGAAGGTAAGCTGCGACCTGAAATGAGAACTCTTCTCTTAATGAGCCACAGCAGAAGCTCGTGTGTGGCCGCGCACGCTCGTGCCTCGCCGCGGCCAGCAGATGGCAGCAGAGCCTTGGAAGCCGGCGGGCACCAGGCTCTGTTGAAAATGCCCTCGTTCATTTCCATTCATCCTCACTTGCCAGAGTCTTTATAAGTGCTTTCTGTAGAACTGACCCTGAAATTGCATCATTTAATCTATAATCATATATTGTCAACATTTCTCCCTTTTACCGCTTATCAATGACATTAAGTCAGAGGAAACAGGGACCAGTGATAGCTTTAGGCAACTCTGCAAAAAGGAGATATTCCTAACAGGCAGACACACTGCCAGGGACAGCCAGCTTGACCGAAATAAGGAAATGCATTTGAACACAAACGGGGGAGCACATAAAAAAAAATCACGCACACTTTGTATTTCTTTCTTCCTTTGCTTTCCTTTAGCACACTTTGTGCTCAAAATCGATTTTTGATTTAAGGTGCATTTGCTTAAACAACCAGTTGAATATTTCCCCATATTTAATGAGATTATTTTTTATGTAATGTATTAAAATACTCTTTCTCCAGGATATGTAATCAGAAATTGATGTCTAGGACGGAATTTCACATGGTAAAGACTAGGCCCTGTAATACCCCAATTACTTTCAGCAATATCTTAGTGGTCTGATGATTGCAAAGTAGAGGCGTTTCTGGGAATTGAAAAGATTCGGTAGAAGTGATGGCTGTCTGCATACATAGATTTAATTCTTTAGAGCTACACTGATGAAACAAAGAAGAAAATACATTCTTTTTCTTCTCAGACCTCTCTAAATTCCTCGGAGAGTAAAAGAATGCTTCGCTTATTAGAAAGATTGTCATGATCTCCCAAGACTCTAGATGGTACTATGGATTCGCCCTGTAGTTTCTATACTAACATTTGTTAAGATTCTTCTTTTTATCCACTTTTTAGGGTGTATGGGATACTTGCATCAGAAAATATACAGAAAAGAGCAGATATAAAGAATAAAAGGCGATGCAAGTTAAATCATGAGAAATTGACAGTGTCTGAAGATGATGAGACAGACGTGTGTTTAATTTTAGATCCCATAGTTAGATTGACTTTCAACTGAGTGTAACAGTCAAAAATGTTCTATAAGTATTTAGTGGCATCACACTGCCACATTAACGTATTACGCTGAACTGAAAGGAGGTGTTCCTCAAACTCATCAGCAAATAGAAGGAGGCATCGTTTGTCAGGAAGCAAGCGCCAGACTCTTCTCTCTGTATTTTGTGTATGAGCGTGTGGTGTAGGCATGTGAGAGTTTGTGTGTGGTATTGTGAGTGTGTGGTGTTATACGTAAGTGTGTGTAGGCACATGTGTGTATGATGTTCTGTGTAAATGTGTGTTGCAGCTATATGTGTGTGTTTGAGTGTATGTGGTGTAGGCATGTGTGAGTCTGAGGTGTTGTATGTGTGTGGTATAGGTATATGTGTGTGGTGAGTGTGCGAGTGTGTGTGATGTGGTGAGTGTGTGTATAGTGTGTGTGGTGTAGGTATGAATGAGTGTGTGAGCATGTGGTATGCGTGTGTAGTGTAGGCATGTGTGTGTGGTTATGTGTGAGTGTATAGTGTAGGTATGTGTGTGTGATGTTATATGTGAGTGTGTGGTGTTTTGTGTGAGTGTGTGGTGTTTGTGTAAGTGTGTAGTGTAAGTATGTGTGTGTGATGTTATGTGTGAGTGTGTGGTCCGTGTGTGAACGTATGTGATGTTGTGTGAGTGTGTGGTGTAGGCATGTGTGAGTGTGTGTGATGTTATGTGTGAGTGTGTGGTGTAGGCATGTGTGTGAATGTATGTGATGTGTGTGTGTGGTGTAGGCATGTGTGAGTGTGTGGTGTTTTGTGTGAGTGTGTGGCATAGGTACGTATCTGCATTTGCATTTTAATCTTCTTTTAATGAAGAAGCAGCTCTGTGTTTCCCAATGCCCAAACCCCAGTGCACACATACGTGCCCGCACATGCCTGGACCCTGTTTCCTCAGACATACCTGCCGTGTGCACTATTTTAAGATCACTCTGTTGCCTTCCAGGAGAACAAAGTGGAGACATCGTGCCTCCTGTTGTACAGTGAGGGGAGGAAAAGGAAACCAGGTACGGAGCTGAACTGGCAGTAAGGATGACTATTTACAGAAAATATCCTGTGATTATTTATAGAGCTATTCAGTCAGAAAAAGGTTATGTCCCATACCTTACATGGCAATGACCCTTGGGAAGGGGCGCCCCTCTTTAGCTCTGTTCCAGGCATGCTGAATGGTGGCCCTTGCCTTCACCTTTGCAAGGTATTTAGAGCAGGGGTCTTTGGAATGCGCCCAAATTCCTTTTCAGGCTCTTTATTCTGCTATTGCCCGCCCACCTCCCTTCCAGGCACCCTCAAGCACGAACAAACTTTACCTTTCCGTTCATGGACTATTTTTCGTCTTCTTTCCAAAACGCACACACAGGCTCATGCACACACAGCTGTCGTTGCGTGTTCACTGGGTGCCAGATCCCATCCGTAAATACTGCACTACGTGACCTCACTTTCACCACACATCGCTCTTCCTCAGAGGACATCATCCCCACGTTACCAATAACAATACTGGTTAAGTAACTCACCCCAGGGCTCTCAGCCAGGAATAATGGAAATTAAAACCTATTCCCATCTCATTCTAAATCCTTTGTTGTTAGCAGCTGTGTTAACAGGTCTTGTCATAGTGTAGGAATATCTGTCCTATTAAAAATGTACATTAAGGCCTGGCACAGTGGCTCACGCCTGTAATCCCAGCACTTTGGGAGGCCGAGATGAGCGGATCACGAGGTCAGGAGATCGAGACCATCCTGGCTAACACGGTGAAACCCCGTCTCTACTAAACACACACACACACACACACACACACACACACACACACACACACACACAGAGTCGGGCATGGTGTGGGCACCTGTAATCCCAGCTACTCGGGAGGCTGAGGCAGGAGAATGGCCTGAACCTGGGAGGTGGAGCTTGCAGTGAGCCGAGATCGCGCCGCTCACTCCAGCCTGGGCGACAGAGCTAGACTCTGTCTCAAAAAAAAAAATGTACATTAAGAAAATCCTAATAAACTGCAACCTCTTCCCGGGTCCTTCATCTACTGCCATCTAGTACTGCCTCATCCTCGTCATTAATTCATTAGCAAAACCTTCTGCAGCCCCTGCTTGGTGTGGTCACAGTTTTCTGTGAGCTCACAGCCAAGGGAAGGCAGCCACGTAAAGCCACTGATACAACCGAGAGCGCCAATTGTGTGTCTGTGTACTTAGCAGGCCTCCAGCACATATGGCTAAGCTGTTGTGTTCTGTCCGTCTAGAGAATCGTCATGGATGGTCATGCACCGTGCAGCTTCTTTGAAAATTAAGGTCTCCATCGCTGTGAGTGGGTCACAGCTATTGTCTCTAAAGTTATGAACCTTTGAGTTTGATGTTTGGAATGTCCCATATCAGGATGTTTCATGTCAGATTACACAGCTGCAACAGATATATAGAATATACGTGTTTGTTGATTTTTCTCCACGTTCCAAAATGAAGAGAAAATATTTTTCTTTCCCTCATGATATTTCGCAAAAGGAACATGCAGATAAAAATAGCACAATATGCCCTTGGATACAAAGCCCTTCAGGAAAGGTAGGTGGGGCAGCCTCAAAAAAGCAAACATCCCGCAGTTGTAATGGGGTGAGAGGTTGCCACTGAAAGTTGAACATGCACCTGTTCTCCACGAGTGACTTTTTCCCTTTGGAAACCCGGACTTTTTCCACGGAGCAATGCTTATCCCAGCCTGGACAACATATTTACTGTTAGCAGATTGCTTTACATTAACTTATATATCCAGATATCAAGAAATCTATTTTCCTTGAGGGTAATTACTTTTACTATCAACAGAATTTAATTATGAAACATACATACAAAACAAGGAATATTCCAGCAGTTTGGGACGCTGAGGAGGGAAGATTTCTTGAGCTCAGTAGTTTTGGACTAGCCTGGATGACATGGTGAGACCTGATCTCTACCAAAAAACACAAAAATTAACCAGGCGTGGTAGCACATACCTGGAGTCCTAACTTCTTGGGAGGCTGAGGCAGGAGGATTGCTGGAGCCTGGGAGGTCAAGGCTGCAGTGAGCCGAAATTGTGCCACTGCACTCCGGCCTGGGAGACAGAGTGAGACACTGTCACAAAAAGAAAAAAAAAAAAAAGTGGAAGAAAGGAAAATAAACAGCAAAAAATACCCCGTAACAATAGAATTGTACATATTGTGACTGTGGACGAAGTCCTCCTTCATTTCCCCACCCACTCAATGCACATCTTCCCAATCACGTTTTTTGACCTTTTTCCCTGAGGAAAATAGCTTTTGGAATTTGATGTTGATGCTACTTACACATTTCCTTTATACTTTTATTTAAAAATACATTTATCATTAAGCATTGTATGATATAATCTTCTATATTTTATGTACTACATAACTGATGTAAACTTAATTTTTTTTCCGTCAATGTTTGTGAGACGAATCCATGTTGATGTATGGAGGTGTGATTCCTATATTTTCATTTTGGACAGTATTATATTTATTTTCTTTTCTTTTCTTTTTTTTTTTTTTGAGATGGAGCCTGGCTCTGTTGCCCAGACTGGAGTGCAGTGGCCCGGTCTCAGCTCACTGCAACCTCCGCCTCCCGGGTTCACCCTATTCTCCTGCCTCGGCTTCCCAAGTAGCTGGGACTACAGGCGCCCGCCACCACGCCCGGCTAATTTTTTTGTATTTTTAGTAGAGACGGGGTTTCACCGTGTTAGCCAGGATGGTCTGGATCTCCTGACCTCGTGATTCACCCGTCTCGGCCTACCAAAGTGCTGGGATTACAGGCGCGAGCCACCAGCCCAGCGACAGTACTATATTTCTTGAAGATACTACTGTCTATGTAAACATTCTTTTATTAGTAGATATATTTGTCATTTCCA